AGAAATATTGAGGAAGTATTTAGACTTTCTATAATGAGAAGGTTTTACAGGAAGCAAAGTAGCCTATAACATGGGTCTGAAGGGTCACACAACCTTCAGAGGGTTGTCAAATTAGCGTGCTGCCTCAAACTAGTATCTTCCTCTGTTCCATTGATACTAGAAATATTCTCCTGATTTTAGCACTTAAAGTTCTCTGTCCCTTCTGCTCATTCCCAAAGACTGAATTTGCATACAATGGGCTTTTTTTTTTTTTTGAGACAAGGTCTTCTCTGATACTCAGGCTGGGGCGCAGTGGCATAATTAAGGCTCACTGCAGCTTTGACCTCTGGGCGGAAGTGATCTTCCCACCCCGGCCTCCCAAAGTGCTAGGATTACAGGTGTGAGCCACTGTGTCCAACTAGTTGCTTGTTTAGGAGAACAAACAGGTTGGCCTTGGTCCAGGAAAATTATATTGTTTCTAGTCCAGTCTTCATAGATAATATCTGATGGGTCTCTGTCATTTGAAATAGGAGATGCTGGCCTTATCATATAGCTGACTCCTCCCCAGGGTACCTGCTAAATTCCTATTGACTATGCCTTTGTTGGTCCTATATTATCATTATCTGTAAGCGGAATATAGACATCTTTCTCAGTGTAAAAAAAATCAGAAAAACCACTACTGTGATTCCCCATTATCCATGGTTTTGCTTTCTGTGATTTCATTTACTGTGGTCAACCATGGTCTAAAAATACTACGGTATTTTGAGAAAAAAAGACCACATTCACATAACTTTTCTTACAGTATATTATTATAATTATTCTATTTTATTATTAGTTATTGTTAATCTTTTACTGTGCCTAATTTATAAATTAAACTTTACCATAGATATGTGTGTATAGGAAAAAAATACTGTATATAGAGGGTTTGATTCTATCTGCAGTTTCATATATTGACTGGGGATCTTGGAATGTATCCCCAGCAGATAAAGGGGGACTACTCTATTTATAACCTTCTAACTATTTTTACTTTTACCTTTTCATAATCTTGGTTCTTAATCACCAGCTGAACTGTGTACATTACAATCAGATCTTTCTATCTGCATGCCCTTTATCATGGGCCATTCTTGGTTCTATCTGACCATCTATGTTTTGTTGAATACTCCACACTGGAAAACTATTTATAATAATAGCAAACATCTGAGCATTTGCTTTGTGCATTGTTCTAAGAACTTTTACAAATATCATTTATCTCATTTCATATGCATAATAATTGCAGGTACCATTATTACCCCTTATATATAAGAAAATAGAGGCATAGGAGGATAGTTTATTTAATCTGTGAAAATTTTCGATGATACTTCTGTGAGAAACAAAGATGAAATTATGTTAAAGAGCTTTGTAGTAAGTAAAACGAAGTACAAACATTGTACTGTTATCTGCTTCATAACAAGGCTCAATGAATGTTTGTTGAATGAATGAATGAATGAATGAGTAAATATCATTACTGGGTTGAACTGTGTCTTGTGAGGGTAGAGTCCTCAGAATAATGTAAAGTGTAAATACGCCAAGTACTGTGTCTGTAACTCAGTCGTTACCCCAACCAACATATACTAGTTTTCCTTCTTCTCCTTCCCTTTTCCTGTAATTTCACAATCAAAATGACTGTCTGATTGAGTATCTTTAAAAGGTCGTGATGAATTATTCTGTAATATTTGAAATGTTATGTTCAGAAAGGTCAAACTTTATTTTTCGGTATGAAGTGTCACACGGATTTGTTTTTCCTGGACACTTTTTTTTTCAAAGAAAAGATGGTAAGAAATTTAGAGCAGGGTGCCCTCTTGAGGAAATTTTAGCATCTTCCTTCTCAAGAACTGACATCAAATGAAATGAGAAGTCTAGATAAATGATGTATACTATTAATGAAGCTCAGAAAAATGAAACATTAAAAAGTAAGAATAACCAAATACCAGGTATTTGAGAATTAAGATTCTTAACTGTTATGATCTAATATAGCAACTGTAAATAAGAATTTTTATTATTATTTATTTATTTATTTTTAATTCTTTTTTTGAGACAGAGTCTCACTCTGTCACCCAGGCTGGAGTGCAGTGGTGCAATCTCAGCTCACTGGAACCTCCACTTCCTGGGTTCAAGATTCTCATGCCTCACCCTCCCGAGTAGCTGGGACCACGGGCTTGCACCACCACACACAGCTAATTTTTTGTGTATTTTTAGTAGAGACAGGATTTCACCATATTAGCCAGGCTGGTCTGAAACTCCTGTGATCTGCTCGTCTCGGCCACCCAAAGTGCTGGAATTACAGGCATGAGCCACCATGACCAGGCTTGTAAATAAGAATTTTTAAATGAAAACAAAAACCTCTAGAAGATATTTCATTTCTTCTTATTTACTCATTTCTTCAAGTAATATTTATTAGGCACCTATTCTGTGCCAGGAACTATGCTGGGCACAGGGATCAATAAAACATGGTCTCTGCCTTCATGGAGCTTACAGTTTGTGAGGGAGCTCACACAGAAGAGAAACAAACAAATATATATGTAGTTACAAACTGAGAAAAGTACTGTGAAGGAAATGAATAGGTACTAGAATAAAGAATAACAAAGTAAATTCTATTTAGGGTCGTCAAGGGAAGCCTCTCTGAGAGGAAATATCCAGTAGAGTCCATTGGCTTTTCCACCTATTCTAAGTCTTCCCATCTAATATAGACAGTCTACAGATCCTCTTTCCTAGCCATAGTCTTTCTTATCTTCTCTTATCTCTGCCCCTGTGGTGGACTGAGTCAGTCCCATCTCTGCCCCTGTGGGCAAGCAGTTAGTTCTCAGTAGTCCTTGTGCACCTCACTGTCACTCTAGTAATCGTGCCTTACAGTAGGGATGTCCAGTCTTTTGGCTTCCCTGGGCCACATTGGAAGAAGAATTGTCTTTGGCTACACATAAAATACACTAGCACTAACAATAACTGATGAGCAAAAAAAAAAAAAAAAAAAAATGCAAAAAATCTCATAATGTTTTTAGAAACTTTACGAATTTTTTTGGGTCACATTCAAAGCCATCCTGGGCCGCATGCAACCCAGGTGCCACGGTTTGGACAAGCTTGCTGTAGAGCTGCACATTCTTCACAGTGGGTGGTCTGCTTGATTAAAAAATGTCTTCCAGGCCGGGCGCGGTGGCTCACGCCTGTAATCCCAGCACTTTGGGAGGCTGAGGCAGGTGGATCATGGGGTCAGGAGATGGAGACCATCCTGGCTAACACAGTGAAACCCCGCCTCTACTAAAAAATACAAAAAATTAGCCGGGCGTGGTAGCGGGCACCTGTAGTCCCAGCTACTCGGGAGGCTGAGGCAGGAGAATGGCGTGAACCTGGGAAGCAGAGCTTGCAGTGAGCCAAGATCACGCCACTGCACTCCAGCCTGGGCGACAGAGCGAGACTCCGTCTCAAAAAAAAAAAAAAGTCTTCCTTACTAATATTGATAGTCCCTCATAGGAGAACATCAATGCATTATCATGCTAAAAGGGCCCACTTCTAACAAGGTTAAGGATGACAAATGGACAAATAATCCTGCCTGCCATTATCCTCTGAATAGGGAGAGATAAATAGGCACAAAGTAGGCCGAGAACTTGATCAAGCAATACTGTTTGATCCCACTGCCCTTGAAATATCTGAGGTACCAAGTACATAGAAACCTTCAACTGGAAGTAAAAATGAGGAACTAGACCTGAGAAAAGAGCCCAGAAGAACAATTTTTAGAGTCTTACTTTGTTCAAAGCTCCCATGTTACACAAACTTACTATGTAATGGTTGGCCTGGCTCATTAACACTCTTGCTATGGCCCTTGTAGCTAAGCTTCTTTCTTTTCTTTCTTTCTTTCTTTTTTTTTTGAGACAGAGTCCCGCTCTGTCACCCAGGCTAGAGTACAGTGGTGCGATCTCGGCTCACTGCAACCTCCGCCTCCTGGGTTCAAGCAATTCTCTGCCTCAGCCTCCCGAGTAGCTCGGATTACAGGGGCCTGCCACCACGCCTGGCTAATTTTTATATTTTTAGTAGAGACAGGGTTTCACCATGTTGGCCAGGCTGGTCTTGAACTCCTGACCTCATGATCCACTCACCTCAGCCTCCCAAAGTGCTGGGATCACAGGTGTGAGCCACCGCACCTGGCCTGCTTCTTTCTTGAGGTGGGTTGATTCTACCAGATTGGAGGATTTAACTGACATGGAGAGTACTGCCTGCAAGTGGATGGGCCTGCCATGACTTCTGAGTTGGCATTTAGGTGACCATATGAGTCTGGTATCCAAACTTTGAATAAGCTGCTTCTACCTTAGTTGTACCCATAAATAGCTCTCTTTAAGAAAATTAATCATCCTTCCCTTATTAACCAGAGGGCCCTGAACAAAACATTTAACTTCTTTGAATCTCAGTTTCCTCACCTGTAAATTGGGATTTAACATCTCTGCTTATTTCACATTATTATACTTTGAGTATAAATAATAGGTAGTATGTTGGTCAAAATGTGCTGAAACTAATACACCTACACATTGCTGCTGTTAGATAGCAATTTGGAAAATACACCAAACACTAAAATGTGCAAACGTCTTTGACCCAACAATTTGGTTCCTGATAATTTATTCTTGTGAAACGATTAAGAAAAAAAATATGAAAAAAGATGTACATTGAAGCATTTTCTACAAAATAAAATATTAAAATATTCTAGATGTTAACAATAATAGATTGGTTAAATAAAACATGTTGCTTTTATTTGCAATAAAATATTGACCGGCCACTATGTGAATTATATTCATGAAAAAAGTTCTTGGAAGGAAACATGAAAAAAATAAAACAATTGATATCTGAGTATAGTGGAATTACAAACATTTTTCTTTATCAATTTCTCTGAATGTTATTACTATAGAAGAATAATTAGCATACTTAAAACATTTTAAAATTAAAAAAAAATTTGACCCCATAGTACATTTTTTTCTTATCATATCTTGTTTTTTATTTAGGGAAATTATCGTTTCGTGAAACTCTTACTTACACGCAGAGCAAACTGGATGCAAAAGGATCTGGAAGAGATGACTCCTTTGCACTTGACTACCCGGCACAGGAGCCCTAAGTGTTTGGCACTTCTGCTGAAGTTTATGGCACCAGGAGAAGTGGATACACAGGATAAAAACAAGGTAATGGATACTCAAAATCGAACACTAATAAGACCAGAAAGCAAATGCTTCCTTTTATGATGTGAAATTTCAAGGAAGAAGGCCTAAATTACCACATATATACATGGTAGAACAATTCCAAATCTCCATACATCTCAGGGAAGTGTTTCACTTCAATTCTGTCGTTTAATCCTCTCAGCAACCATGTGTGTTAGGTATTGTCATCTCCTTTTTACAAATGGAAAAACTGAAGCTCAGGAAGATTAAAATTTTGCCTAAGATGCAAGTGGCAGAACTAGACTTCAGATCTAGTCCTGTCAGCCGGGCATGTTGGCTCATGCCTGTAATCACAGCATTTTGGGAGGCCAAGGCAAGTGGATCACCTGAGGTCAGGAGTTCAAGACTGGCCTGGCCAACATAGTGAAACCTTGTCCCTACTAAAACTACAAAAATTAGCCGGGCATGGTGGTGTGCACTTGTAATCCCAGCTACTCAGGAAGCTAAGGAATGAGAATCACTTGAACCTGGGAGGCAGAGGTTGCAGTGAGCCCAGATAGCGCCACTGAATTCCAGCCTGGGTGACAGAGTGAGACTCTGTCTCAAAAAAAAAAAAAAAGTCTAGTCCTGCCTTAACTCCAAAACCCAACATTTGACAGGGAGTCATAATAGTTACTATAAGTGGTTAGACTCATGATGGCCAAATGCCCATGGCAATGTCCTAAGTGCATAATGGTTTAGTGGCCTACACTTTGGTATCAGACTTCCTGGGTTTCAACCCAGAATCCACTACTTAACTTGTTCTGTATCCTTGGGCAAATTGCTTAACTCCTCTGTGCCCCAGTTTTTATATGTATAGAAAAAGGATAATAGGATTACTGTTAGGTTCAGCATAGTATTGAATTTCAGTAAACAGAATCAGAACAAGTATAACATAGGAAAAGAAAGGAATTACATGTTGTTTATTGAAGATGTGGTTATAGGCAGTTAGTGAATACTATTATACTTGTGGCTTTTTAAAAATCTGCAGTTGTTAGTAAGCAAAAGTAATAGGTTAAATAGTGACTGTTCATATTAAATGCCTATAGGTACATCTTGAAGGAATACCAGGTATATCAGTTTCTAAAGTTTTTAATGTGACAGGTGGGCTTGGTTCCTGCTCATTAAATTATCTAATTGTAGATTGGATTGCTGACAGTGCTACTCATGAGGGCTGATAAAAATTTAAACAGTTCTTACATTTTTTCTTAATAATTCTTCTAATAGGGAAGCCAGTCGTATAGAAGTATGTTGATGAGAACAGCAGAAGAGATTTTAAAGCAACTTCAACAAGTTCAAGATGATCATTTTTAACTTTTATCTGAAATAAAGTGTGAACATTGTCAAAATCAAAATGGAGTTCTTTCTGTTTAAAACAACAACAACAAAACCTGACAGAGCCAGGGAAGGCCATAAAGAGAGGATTCTCGTGCTTGTCTGATTTAAAAAAAAAAAAAAATCACAAACTGTGCAAAAACCACAGCCTTGCACAAAGGCCATCATAACCTTACACAAAAATTACTTCTTCAAAGACATTTGCCCAGCAACTGCCCTTCCAACCTTGCACTGGCATTATCTTTGTTATTGATCTTTGTAGCCAAGGATCATCATTTGAAAACAATTATGTAATCCTCCTCATTTTTCTTTTAAAAACTTTTGTCTTCCTTTACTTGAATACACAGTTTAACAACGTCCTACTACCAGATACCAAATAAACATGATTTTCTTTCTTTTTTTTCTTTTTCTATCACCCAGGCTGGCATGTAGTGGTATGATCTCGGCTTACTGAAACCTCCACCTCCCAGGTTCAAGCAATTCTCATGCTTCAGCCTCCTGAGTAGCTGGGATTACAGGCATGCACCACCACACCCGACTAATTTTTGTATTTTTAATAGAAAAGGGGTTTCACCATGTTTACCTGGCTGGTCTCGAACTCCTGACCTCAAGTGATCCACCTGCCTCGATCTCCCAAAGTGCTGAGATTACAGGCATGAGCCACTGCACCCGGCCAAACATTATTTTCTTTTAGAGAGACATTGTAATTTAGGTTGACAAAAGCAAGTACTGCTGTATTTTCAAAATGTATCTTTTTAGCAATAACTAGGTCTAATAATTTATCCTCTAAAATTGTAGTTAAATTAAAATGTATCTTCTGATATATGGAATGGGTTCCAGATGCATATGCATGGATTTTTTATAGATATTAAAATTGAAAACATCCTATCAAGTTCTTAAGGTCCTTGGTGATAACCAGATGTGCATTATCAAGATCATCACTTACTTTGTTGATGATTATTTCTAAATGACTGGGCCGCTTTCTCTTTCTCTGTGTTATCAGTACCAGATGAACTAAATAACTGTCATGACTAAGAGGTCAGATTCTGGAGTCAGACTGCCAGGGTTAAAATCTCAGTTCAGCCACTTACTTCCTTTATGTCCCTGAGCAGATTACTTAGGTTCCATGTGCTGTTTCCTCATCAATCACATGCAAATTTAAAAACATACTTGTCTCCCAGGAATAGTAAGATGACTGCATGCAATTAAATAGACAATAGTCTCCCTTGTTCAAAGGAAATATATTCCAACACCCCCAATGGATACTTGAAACTGCAGATAGTGTCAAACCCAATTCCCATCAATAGGAACACATTTCTGTTCATGTCTTCCACCCACAAATTTAGTACTTTTTCCATCTTAACTAAGCACTTATCAGGCACTATGGCCATAATTTTTGCAGTTTGGTATGCAACAGCAAAATCATGAATTTCTTCTTCCTTCTTTACAGTTTCACAGATAGATTTGTTCTTACCACAGAGCTTAGCAAACTCAACAAATTTTTCTTATTGAGAGCTTTAACCTTTTCACTTAAAGGAAACACTTTATAGCTGCTCTTTGGCATATCTGAATCACCAGTATCAATAATTGTGAGCTTTGGGGCCGTTAAGTAAAAGAAGGATGACTTGAACACAAGCACTGTGAATCTAATATCGTGACAATGAATGGGATATCTGAGTTGGCTGCTAGGTGACTAACTGGCAGGGAATGTCTACAGTGGGGATGTGCTGAACAAGGAAAGATTTGTGTCCCAGGTAGGATGGGATGGGATGAAGCACTCTTTCATCATGTTATTTAGAATGGCACACAATTTAAAACTTATAAATTGTTTATTTCTGGAATGTTCTATTTAATATTTTTAGACTTTGGTTGAACACAGAGACCTGAAATCATGAAAAGTGAAACCAAAGATACAGGGGAACTACTGTATAAAACTCTTGTAACAGTGCCTGTCCCATAGTAAAAGCTTGGGGAAAGTTAGTTGTTGTTACTGTTGTTATTCTGAGAACCTCTCGATTTTGCAGCAAACAGCTCTGCATTGGAGTGCCTACTACAATAACCCTGAGCACGTGAAACTGCTCATCAAGCATGATTCTAACATTGGGATTCCTGATGTTGAAGGCAAGATCCCACTTCACTGGGCAGCCAACCATAAAGATCCAAGTGCTGTTCACACAGTGAGATGCATTCTGGTGAGTTGAATGGTACTGCTAGACCTGAATGGCCTTTTTAAGAAAAATTTTTATTATGAATTATTCAATATATACAAAAGCATGTATTTGACATACAAGTACATTATTAGGCAAAAGAATACAACAGATATATGGACCCATCCCCCAAGAAGTAGAACATTTCAGTACCACTATTTAAGACCACATAGAGGTTTCCTATGTCCCAGTTTTTAAATGCATTCATTCCCCCTATGCCATGCTCATTCCTGTACCCCAACAACTACTTCCCTGAATTTATAGTTATTTCCTTACTTTGTTTCATACTGTTTTTATTAAACGGTGAATAGACATAAGTATCAGCAAAATACATGTAAAATATAAATAATAATGAAACAACAAATACTTATATACTCACTATCAAGTTTAAGAAAAAGTATATTACCAGGCTGGGCGTGGTGGCTCACGCCTGTAATCCCAGCACTTTGGGAGGCCGAGGCGGGTGGATCACAAGGTCAGGAGATTGAGACCATGCTGGCTAACACGGTGAAACTCCGTCTCTACTAAAAATACAAAAAATTAGCCAGGCGTGGTGGTGGGCGCCTGTAGTCCCAGCTACTCGGGAGGCTGAGGCAGGAGAATGGTGTGAACCCAGGGAGGTGGAGCTTGCAGTGAGCCGAGATTGTACCACTGCACTCCAGCCTGGGCGACAGAGCAAGACTCCGTCTCAAAAAAAAAAAAAAAAAAGAAAAAGAAAAAGTATATTACCATTACCTTTTAGGTCCTCTGAGTGGAGTACCTCTCAGTCTCATTCTACTCTCTCCTTTCACAGAGGCAACAACTGTCTTCAGTCTTGTGTTTATCATTCCCCTGATTTCCATTACCACATATATTTGTATCCTTAAACAATATATTGCTCAGTTTTTAATGTTTTTGAATTTGATATACAAGGAATTATATTGCATGTTTTTGTTTTTGTTTTGTTTTTTGCAATACCCTTTTCTCGCTCAACGTTATGCTGGTGAATTTTTTTTTTTTCTTTTTTTTTTTGAGACGGAGTCTTGCTCTGTCACCCAGGCTGGAGTACAGTGGCATGATCTTGGCTCACTGCAGCCTCCGTCTCCCAGGTTTAAGCAATTCTCCTGCCTCAACATCCTAGGTAGCTGGGACTGCAGGCGTGTGCCACCATGCGTGGCTCATTTCTGTATTTTTAGTAGAGATGGGGTTTTACCATGTTGGCAAGGATGGTCTCGACCTCCTGACCTTGTGATCCACCTGCCTCAGCCTCCCAAAGTGTTGGGATTACAGGCGTGAGCCACCGTGCCTGACCACTGATGATTTTATCTATGTTGCTGCATGTAAAAGTGATATTTTAATTTTTACTGCTATATAGGATTCCATCTTATGAATAAGCCACACAATATTCATTCTGTTATTGACAGATACTTTGTTTCTAGTTTTTTGTTATTTACAAACAGTGCTGCATTGACATTTTTGAACATATCTAGGATATATATTTAACTAGTTCTTATAGGTGTATAGGAATGCAGTTGATATTTTTGATCATTGATTATGTATCTAACTAATTCGCTAAACTCCTTATTTATTTTGAATATTTATCAGTTGATTCTTTGAGATTTTCTACTCCCTCTGTCTCAGCTTCTAAGTTACATGTTTTTGTAGTCCAATAGTTAGTCATATTTGTTTTTAACACACAAACTATACTTTAAAGTATTTTTTAATCGTTTTTTACAACCTCTGATGCTAAAAGTATTATTATTTTGTATATGCAATGCTTAGCTCTGCATTTTTTTGTATCTGAAATTTTCCTTCTAAAGCTATTATTTTACATCCTGAAATATAGTTCTTAGATTCTTATTTAAAATTATTCTATAAGTTCTGGGATACAGATACAAAACGTTCAGGTTGATTACATAGGTATACATATACCATGGTGGTTCGCTGCACCCATCAACCTGTCTTCTACATTAGGTATTTCTCCTAATGCTATCCCTCCCCTTGTCCCCCACCCCCCAACAGGCCCCAGTGTGTGATGTTCCCCTCCCTGTGTCCATGTGTTCTCATTGTTCAACTCCCACTTATGAGTGAGAACATGCAGTGTTTGGTTTTCTGTTCTTGTGTTAGTTTGCTGAGAATGATGGTTTCCAGCTTCATCCATGAGTTCTGCAAAGAACATGAACTCCTTCTTTTTTATGGCTGCATAGTATTCCATGGTATATATGTGCCACATTTTCTTTATCCAGTCTATCATTGATGGGCATTTGGGTTGGTTCCATGACTTTGTTATTGTAAATAATATTGCAATAGACATATGTGTGTATGTGTCTTTATAGTAGAATGATTTATAATCCTTTGGGTATATACCCAGTAATAGGATTCCTGGGTCAAATGGTATTTCTCGTTCTAGATCCTTGAGGAATCACCACACTGTCTTCCACAATGGTTGAACTAATTTACACTCCACCAACAGAATGAAAGCATTCGTATTTCTCCACATCCTCTCCAGCATCTGTTGTTTCTTGACTTTTTAATGCTTGCCATTCTAACTGGCATGAGATGGTATCTCATTGTGGTTTTGATTTGCATTTCTCTAATGACCGGTGATGATGAGCTTTTGTTCATATGTTTATTGGCTGCATAAATGTCTTCTTTTGAGAAGTACCTGTTCATATCCTTTGCCCACTTTTTGATGGAGTTGTTTTTTCTCTTGTAAATTTGTTTAAGTACCTTGTACATTCTGGATGTTAGTCCTTTATCAGATGGATAGATTGCAAAAAATATTCTCCCATTCTGTAGGTTGCCTGTTCTGTCTATAGGTCCTGTAGGTCCCATTCTGTCTGTCTGTAGGTCCCTGTAGGTCCCATGTCTATAGGGACCTGTAAGTCCCATTCTGTAGGTTGCCTCTTCTATCACTCTGATGATAGTTTCTTTTGCTGTGCAGAAGCTCTTTAGTTGAATTAGATCCCATTTGCCAATTTTGGCTTTTGTTACCATTGCTTTTGGTGTTTTAGTCGTGAAGTCTTTGCCCATGCCTATGTCCTGAATGGTATTGCCTAGGTTTTCTTCTAGTGTTTTTATGGTTTTAGGTCTTGTGTTTAAGTTTTTAATCCATCTTGCGTTAATTTTTGTATAAGATATAAGGAAGGGGTCCAGTTTCAGTTTTCCAAACACCATTTATGAAATAGGGAATCCTTTCCCCATTGCTTGTTTTTGTCAAGTGGTTGTAGATGTGTGGCATTATTTCTGAGGCCTCTGTTCTGTTCCATTGGTCTATATATCTGTTTTGGCACAAGTACCATGCTGTTTTGGTTACTGTAGCCTTGTATTATAGTTTGAAGTCAGGTAGCATGATGCCTCCACCTTTGTTCTTTTTGCTTAGGATTGTCTTGGCTATACGGTCTCTTTTTTGGTTACATACAAAATTTAAAATAGTTTTTTTCTAATTCTGTGAAGAAAGTCAATGGTAGCTTGATGGAAATAGCATTGAATCTATATATTACTTTGGGCCGTATGGCCATTTTCACAATATTGATTCTTCCTGTCCATGAGCGTGGAATGTTTTTCCATTTGTTTGTGTCCTCTCTTATTTCTTTGAGCGGTGGTTTGTAGTTCTCCTTCAGGGAACTACAACGTGAAGAAGTCCTTTACCTCCCTTGTAAGTTGTATTCCTAGATATTTTATTTCTCTTTGTGGCAATTGTGAATGGGAGTTCACTCATGATTTGCTCTCTGTCTGTTATTGGTGTATAGGAATGCTTGTGATTTTTGCACATTGATTTTGTATCCTGAGACTTTACTCAAGCTGCTTATCAGCTTAAGGAGTTTCTGGGCTGAGATGATGGGGTTATTTAAATACACAATCATGTCATCTACAAACAGAGACAATTTGACTTTCTCTCTTCCTATTCGAATAACCTTTATTTCTCTTACCTGATTGCCCTGGCCAGAACTTCCAATACTATATTGAACAGGAGTGGTGAGAGAGGGTATCCTTGTCATGTGCCAGTTTTAAAAGGGAATGCTTCCAGCTTTTGCCCATTCATTATGATATTGGCTGTGGATTTGTCATAAATAGCTCTTATTATTTTTAGATATGTTCCTTCAATACCTATTTTATTGAGTGGTTTTAGCATGAAGGGGTGTTGAATGTTATCGAAGGCCTTTTCTGCATCTATTGAGATAATCATGTGGTTTTTGTCATGGGTTCTGTTTATGTGATTGATTACATTTATTGATTTGCATATGTTGAACCAGCCTTGCATCCCAGGGATGAAGCCAACTTGATCGTGGTAGATAAGCTTTTTGATATGCTGCTGGTTTCGGTTTACCAGTATTTTATTGAGGATTTTTGCATTGATGTTCACCAGGGATATTGGCCTGAAATTTCCTTTTTTTCTTGTGTCTCTGCCGGTTTTGGTTTCAGGATGATGCTGTCCTCATAAAATGAGTTAGGGAGGAGTCCCTCTTTTTCTATTTATTGGAATAGTTTCAGAGGGAATGGTACCAGCTCCTCTTTGTACCTCTGGTAAAATTCAGCTGTGAATCTGTCTGGTCCTGGACTTTTATTGGTTGGTAGGCTATTAATTACTGCCTCAATTTCAGAACCTGTTATTGGTCTATTCAGGGATTCAACTTCTTCCTGGTTTAGTCTTGGGAGAGTGTATGTGTCCAGGAATTTATCCATTTCTTCAAGATTTTCCAGTTTATTTGCGTGGAGGTGTTTATAGTATTCTCTGATGGTAGTTTGTATTTCTGTGTGGTCAGTGGTGATATCCCCTATACCATTTTTTATTGTGTCTATTTAATTCTCTCTTTTCTTCTTTATTAGTGGTCTATTTTGTTAGTCTTTTCAAAAAACCAGCTCCTGAATTCATTGATTTTTTGAAGGGTTTTTCGTGTTTCTATCTCCTTCAGTACTGCTCTGATCTTAGTTATCTCTTGTCTTTTGTTAGGTTTTGAATGTGTTTGCTCTTGTTTCTCTAGTTCTTTTAATTGTGATGTTAG